CTGTGGCTGTCGCTGTCGCTGTAGGTCTCACTGAAGCTGTCACCGTGTCTGTCGTTGTCGCTGTCGCTGTCACTCTCACTGTCACTGTCACTGTCACTGTCAGTCGCTATCGCTATCGCTGTCGCGGGCTCCTTCATCATCGCCGTCGGCCCCGCCGTCGCCGTTGCTGCCTCCGCTGACATATCCATTGCCGTCGCTATCTCTGTCGCCTCTACCACCGTCACCGCCGCCGTTGCCATTCCCACCGTCGTCGACGCCGTCTGCTTGCCAGACTCAGTCGTCGGCCCGTCGCAGTCGTCATCTCAATGGCCCCCGCTACCATTGCCGATGTCTCCACTGACCGTCGTTGACATCTCTACCGCCGTTGCACTGCTAACTTCGTTGTTCTTGTCGCGTCCAGCCCCAACGATCCTAATGTAATGCACCTATCCCAGCATGTTCCTGGTTCATTTATTTCCCTCGCATCTGCCTACCCAGGTGCTGTAGGTGCTACCCGCGTCTTTTGTTGCGCTTATCAATTCAACTTACAACGATTATAATTTTCCTCGATTTATTTCCATCGATCGTATCTTCCCCATCTTCATTATCAACGAACCTAATCTTATTCGCCTAACCCTGTACGTTTCTAGCACTCTTGTCTTTCTTGCTTCCGCCAACCTAAGTTTCTCTAGGAGCCGCTATCGCCTTACTCCTTATGCTTGCTACTTCCCCCATCCAGCCTACTCATTCCCTCCGACTTATTTTAATTTTATCCCGCATTCTTTGTCTCCCTCACGTCTACAAACCCTCTGATTGTGTCTCGTGCCTCCAAGGACCCCGTCGTCACGACTATTATTAACGTCGCCTACTCCGTCACCACCACCACCACCACCACCTCTGCCTCTTATCGCCGCCGCTACGACCGACTCCACCGCTCAGTCAACTATCGCGATCTCCACATCTCAGATATTAAAATTTAATTTTCCGTCTCATAAATCTCGTATTGTTCTGGGAAAACGCTGGGTCTTGGCTCACAGACTTCGCGCGCGCCGGTGCTGGCGGTTCACAAAAATACTCGCCGGGGGCGGGGGAGTGGCTGGGGCCGTCGAGAGGGGGTAGGGT